ATAGATAGATAGATAGATAGATAGATAGATAGATAGATAGATAGATAGATAGATAGATAGATAGATAGATAGATAGATAGATAAATAAATAAATAAATAAATAGTAGTTCACAAGTGAATACATGACTAAGCACAAGCCTCTGCATATCTGTTCAGAAACATGGCCTATTGAATTCAGTGGTTAAGTGTCTGTAGGACTACAGTCATAATATTATTTCTGAGGGTAGTATAACTGGGATCACATAGGTCATGTGTGTACATGACGGTGCTGGAATTAGAGACTATGAACCTATTAATGATACTAAGGTCTGGCCTCTGTGGTGTTCCATTTTGCCCCATTTTGCATTCAGACTCCCATCACTGGATTCAGATTCTACTCCCCTTTTCCAGAAATTGGGTACTTTACTTTTTTTGGACTGCAGTTCTAGTATCCCTTAACTAGCATGGCTAGATTTCTAGCCACATGCCATGCTATCTATCTCCTCACCCACTCATCTGTGCCTGTGTTTGACACTATAAGGGTGTTCTCTTGTAATGGAGATCAACTCTTTGACTAGTGATGTTGGATAGAGCGCAGTTAGAATGTGTTCCTGACTGAAAGATATTTGCTTTTGTTCCCTGCCCTTTTTCTTTATCATAGGTAGGGCATCCCTTTGAAAAATAGTTGCAGAACAAAGAATATATTTTCTTTATATTTGCTCTTTCATTCCTGATGGCTCCTTTCCCTTGGCTTCTGACTTAAGCCATCTCCATCCAATATTCCAGTTACTGTTGAAGATTACTAGAATTCTTTATATAGTTCTACATTATATGTACTAATTTTATTTTTTTCTGCTCAACCTAATAACACTTTGTCATACATGGTTAGTGAAAAATGCATGCACCTTCTCAAAGCACATGAACATCTTCTCGTGAATGATGCTTCCATTTTGCACCCAGTTTGGGTGCATTTCACTCAAAAGTACCCATACTAAAGTAACATCTTTTATGAAGGCTCCTGCTGATCCATTCTTGTATCTTGCTGTGGCAGCTGTGAATATATATAATATACATCCAGGCACAGAGGTTGTTAATTTGTGATATAAGGCTGGCTGGAGCATGCCTGCTAATTGGTTTGAGAGTTAGATGTAGACAATGCCTCTCCTAGCTGTTTGTTCAGATACGCCTAGTCATAGGGTTAATTCTGCTTGACAGCACTTCAGCCGCATCTCAAAAGTAATTACCCAACTTAGGTTTTCCCACAGCTGAACTGAGAGCTTCAAAGACTTCTGAGTTTAAAACTATTATTAACGTATATCTGAAACATGATGTTCCCACAAAGGCTAATTTTCCGTTTCTTCCCCCCTCCCCCTCATTACTAGGTGTATAGCCTACTGAGTTCATTGGTGTTATGCTAAACTCTTTAAATACCACATTAAAGACACAATTGGTGGTACTAGTATGGTTTGCATGAACTCTTCTCTTGTTCAATAAGAATTCAGGAGGTTGGATTTCCTACCTCTTTAAGGGAAACAAACATTTTGGGATGTGCATGTTATAAAAATAATCCCATTGATAAAGCCAACAATTCTGTTGAAAGAAATACTCTTCAAAATTATACTATAATGAATAAATAGAAAGTAAACTTTTTAAAATTAACTATAAATTATACATAATTAAGAGGGATTGTTTTGTATTTTTATTTTTCTTGCAGGATTTTCTGCCACTTTTACTAGCTTTATAAATTTAAATGATTATGAATAAAAGTTGCTAATGTGAAAAATGCACTTAAAAAGTGTTTAGTATCAAATGTATTTGTAGGCAGGACGCATTAATACAGAGAGATAATGTTCTCTGCTTGCAGTTCAGTCATTGGTTTCCCATGATATAAATAGTATTTTAAAATTAAAAGATTCCCCCCTTTTCTCTCTTTCTCTCTCTTTTAGATCAGAGACAAAGTTTGACTCCAATTCAGGTATGTTTACATTTACAGTATAACCATTATGTTCAATGTGCAATTTTCATGTTACTCTCAAAAGAGTGATTTATCAGTTCACATGCAGTCTTGACTTCAAGCAGTCTGTAACAGGTCAGTATTTAAGGCATTTTGAAATCTGAGATGGTTCTAAATAGTGCTGTTATTGAGCATGGCAGTACTTCTATTCTTTCTTTGGGTTCAAATCTCTCTTTAATTTTACTCTTTCATGTTAAGGTGACTGCAAGGAAACCATGTCCATTATGCATTATATTTTGAATGATAAAGGGCTGAGGGAAATGGACTTTGGGAATATTGGCTGATTTAAAAACTTGTTTTTCTTGCTGGAGGACAAAGCTGTTTCATGGACATGAGGACTGAGCAACCAATTCATCAGGAAATGAGTGATTTGTCATTGAACATGTCTGTGTATACGTGCATGCCAGAAAAAGTTGTAGAATTCTCTCTAGGTGGTTAACCTAAATGTCATTTTAAAACACACAAACATGTTTGTAAGAAATATTGGTGTCTGGGGTTCTAAAAAAACAGATATTCCAAAAGCTCATTTAATTCCAACAGAGGGGAAATACATAGTATAGCAAGCAGCTTGACTTTCATCAACTAGGATCATAGTAGTGATGGTAGAAAACCTGGTTGGTTTTTTGTTTTATATGAACAACAGAGGCTTTCTATTTCTAAAAAAACCTTTTGTCCAATAAAACCCGTTAGTCTTTAGGGTGCTATGAGATTCTCCTATTGTTTTTGCTTCAACAGACTAACATGACTACTGTTTCTTGAAATTTTTTCATTGTTTAATACAATTATTTTTTCTGACACAGCATGTGTTCCAGTGATAAAGCTATTATTTCTACAAGGAAACAGAAGCTACTTTCCTATAATTCTTTAGGATTTGTGATACAGTGATAGAACAGTTTAAAACTAAATAAAAGAATTTGCTCCAAACGTGCAATAAACAGCAACAACTGAAACTACAGCTTGACATCACAATCTTGTCTCAAAGATGAAGTGAAGTGGCTATAGGAATTTAGGAAGGAATGCTCTTCTGCCAGCAGAAATTTCATTTTGCCAGCTGATTGTGCAGATCTGCCAAAACAGTTTTCTCCTGGCAGAACTGCTGTCGAAAAAGTCAGAAAAGAAGTGGAGAAGAGGTCCAAACTTTCTGCAGACCAAGTATTCAATTCCAGTGGTGGCAAAGGTTGGCCAAGATGAGGGAAGTTGCAAGTAATTTCTAGCATCTCTAGGTTGTGGGACAGGTCATAGACATGGCACACCTTCAGTTGTCCTAGTAGCCATTTTCTGTTTTGGCCTGTTAGAATGGCGTTTTAAGAATGAGGACCAGCAGTCTTATTATCCAGTTAAAACTAAAGGATCTGAAGGGAGCCTCTGAAACTTTGGATCAGAGAACTAGAAACTTTTAATTTGGAAGGGAGGAACCATGGTTTCAGACTCCAGTTGTGTGGCATAAAGTTGTGTAGTAGGATTTTAGCCATAGAAATGTTAGTATTTAAAATGCCAAAAATACTTTGTCTTGTTTTCTCTTGTCTCCCTGCCCCACCCTTTTTTAACTTGCAAATATTCTGAGATAAACTGACATGGCTTCTTCTCTGGAATTAAACCAAAAGGGTGTCCAAATGAGTACGCTGCCTTCAATACATTGCTGTCAATTTTTAATAAGCTGACTGGGTTTTTTTTAAAAAAAAACCTGTTTCCTCTCCCTAACCAATTATTACTCAGTTCTGGTTTGAGCCCCACATCACGTTACCTCACTGGTATGTATGCCTTCTCTTAATGTATAAGGTAGACATTTTTCTTACAAGTTCAACTTTATAAGGTATACAATCCTGACTTTTAAACATATTTCTTCTTTGGTTTAAGTCAAGGCTGAGCAAAATGTGGCTGGAGCCATGTGTGTCAAGACTGCTCTAAGAAGCCTCCAGAAATAGTGAATAATTCTTTAAAAAGTTTGTGTGGGGCCCGAACAGCATTTCACACCAAAAATACTAATTTTTCAAAAATGGAATTGGTCCACTTTAGTGTAGTCCCTGGACCCACTGAATTTTATAACAAACAGTCTTATTCAGTCAATCAGTTTTTTTATCACACATTAAAAGCAAACAGTGCAGTCACATCAGGAGGGAGTTCCATAGAGGCAAGGCTGTCTCTAAAAGTGTCCTGCTTCTTGTATCTGACAACCTGAGAGATCTTACTAGTGTAAGATGCAGAGCACACTCAGGCAAACAACCCCCCCCCTTTAACACTGCTGCCACCAGGTGATCTCTAAATCACCATTACTTCAGGAAGATGAAGATTCAGGTCCACACTTCAAAGTCTTTTATATATAACTTTGCTTTATTGAATACAGAAATTGATAGTGATTCATGAATATCTTTTTAGGTAAATTTATTGTTAACAACAATCTTCTATTTGATAATACACTCCTAACTCCAATCACCTCTCAGATTTCACCAAATTTCACACTCTATCTTCTTCTCCACTCTCCCATGCTACTCTCTCTCTGACTCTGACTGACTGTCTGTCAGGCTCCGCCTCTTATAATATCCCTCTCGGCTCTGCCTCTCAGCAACATGAATATGCATGAACAATTAACATAACAAACATGAACCATTGACATAATAAAGGGGAACGCTACAGACCTCCCCCCTTAAATATGTTTGCTTGGGAGGGGAAACACATTTTTCCTCCTAAACAAACAGGCACACTTGCATTTAACTTTACTTGCCTTATAACACATTTAACATAACAATTACTATACCTTATACTCTAAACATTTCACTACTATTCAACAATATACTTTTCCTTATTATTTACATTTAACATTTTCAACCATACAGAAATCACAATCATGAAACTTTTACATAAATAATTAAACAGTGAATTATAGTCCATTTCAGTTAATAATAAAACTCCTTGAATCGTTCTTCACATTTCTGTCCATCAGTTCAATTTTTCATCACATTTACAAACACAACATTTATAATATCAGCTTGGGTTATCCACCCCCATCAGTCATTGGGCTTTTGAGGCACGATCTGAGTCTCCGGTGCAAAGGCAAAATTGGCAAAGTCCAAGTCTCGCATTTTTTCGTAGTACAGTAGTCTGGCGCACCGTGGACTGGTCCGGATGTTGTCATCTCCTTCCAATGGACACACCTCTGCTGGCACTCAGGAGTCCCTCTGTTGACCACTGGCTCCTTCTTCCGCAACCTTTTCCATCGACTGGCGGTCATCGGCCACTCGGTTGATCCCTGGATGTCATCTGCTGGCCGTTTTATAGTGACGTCAGCTTTAAGACTGGCTTGGGGCTTCACTTGCTCAGCTAGGGATAGGGTAGGCAGTTCGTATGGCATCCTGTGGAGTTTTACCAGGCTAAGTACAAAGACTGATACCAATCCCGCTGGGACTATAGAAGCACTGAAGATAGATGTACCTGGAACTTCACCTACTGACCAAATAAACACCCCGGAGAGCCAGCAAATATTTTAAATCCCCACCTTATAAAACCTACTTGGATGCCACAGCCAACCCACTTGCTCTGTTCTACAGTATTACATCTACAGGCTATGTTAGGGACCCAAAAGATAGCCCCAACCTCAAGGGCTGGTTATCTGAAAATCCTTTCTTGGAACATAGCTGGCTGGGACTCTAGACTGAATGACCTGGGTATACTCAAGTTATCTCAGATCTTATGATATACTGTAATCACAGTTCAAGAAATCTGGAGTATAGACTACATCACCTTGAATGGTTACTTAGTGTTTAACAGTCCCGCAGCTCCTAGTAATGGGAAGGGTCTGCAAAAGGCGGGGTTGGCCTTAATGTTTTCTACCGCCTTGAGGGCTTAGGTGAAATGGCTTTCACCTTGTGATAAAGCTGTTGTTGCAGGGCTACTTGTCACCCGGGCAAACTCTTACTTTTCCATTAACATTTATATCCCCCCCCATCATCTTCCAAAGGTCAAACAACCCAAATATGGGACCAATTGGAGTTCTATATACTTATTTAGAATCCCTAGCACATAAGGCACATGTGATACTTATGGGAGATCTGAATGCAAGGATTTGGCCGAATAATGATATATTTTCCAAAACTCTGGATGCGCTACCAGTAGAGTTTTATACCTTGAGGAATTATAAACTATCAGAAGACTTGCAGACCAAGTGGATTATGCTTGGCTCGGATGGCTGTATGCCTTTCTCTTCATATTATTAATGGCAATGATTTGTTTGATAACTGTGGAAAATTTGCTTTCATTTCAGGGAGAGGAAGTAGTGTGGTAGATTATGTGTTAATTTCCCCATCTTTAGCCAGTTCAGTTAAGGGATTCACAGTTGAACAAAGATTAGAAAGTGATCACCTACCCTTATTGTTAAACCTATCACTCTCAAATACGATACATCTGCCCCTTGAGCCACACATAGATGACAATGTCCTATCCGTACGTTATAAATGTTTAATCTGGACAAAGTAAATGCTAATGTTTCCAATTTCTTAAATTCCATTCTGATGTTTGTTGCAAAATTACTGTTGAAATTTTTGATGTTCTGTACTCTGGACTGTTAAGTCCCATTCCATGTTGTTTTTCTATGCTTTTGAGAAATGTGGTAATTATGATGAAGCTTTAATTGAGAAAGTGGCTTCACAGCAAATCATAAAAGGATCAGCAGAGGTGAGAGCAGAGGAAGAAAAGATGGGCAGAGGTGGGAACAGAGGAGAGAAGGAAAGAAGGGGGGCTGTGGGCTGGAAAGCAACTTGCATCCGTCAGTATGAAGGGTGAACTTGTCCACAACCCGCAACCCCCGTGTAAGCACTAATTGTGATTTCAGATGTGATACAGATGTGAATGAAAACCCAGCAAAAATGAATCATTCTGATTTGGCTTTCAAGTATAGTGACAGACTATATGCAGAAAATATTTTTTTTTTTTTGGCCTTTCCTGTCAAACTCCTGTTAGCTCTCCCT